GAAGTCTACCTTTCAATCACTAGGAAATATGAATATTCCAAGCTTACTGATATTAATAATAGCGATATTGAATTGAAAGTCCCCAAATTTTTTATATAAGGTTAAAAAATGTATCTATGAATTTTCGTCGTCACGGACGTGGTCAAAATCGACGAAAGTCTTACGGTAGTATCGAACAGCATGCTTGATTCATATCACCTTAGATGGATTGAAACAGACCAAGAAATGATCGAATTTCACCAACTGTTGTACTTAATGCAACATAAACATCATAACATGTTTCCGCTAGTCCTATGGTATATCACGTGTGGTGGCTGGTGAAATACAATTCGCGATCAGGGCAGCGGTGTTCTGGCGGACAAAATCAAGATCTTACATTACAACAGAAGGCATGAGCTGCTTCAGTCGTGTGTCCAGGCATTTACGTGAAAGGGGAAAGCACAATGCCCGGTCAAATATGATCTCAGAAATTGGAAGGGCTTATGATCCAGATACCCGGAGGATACGGTAGCTGTTTTCAAAGTTCAGTGAATACTGCCTGTTCCGTAGTAAGCAGGTGAAATCTGTCTTGGATACAACAACAGTACGTCACAGACAAAAAACAAGCGTTGCTTAAGTAAATTAAAGAATTCACTGCAGCTGCAACACTTCACGTTATGAAAGGCTACCTCCAACATTATATAAGCCGACTCGTCTGCGCAACGGAATAGAAAAGAACGGAACTGATCTAACCTGCAGTGGAACACCATGAGGGCTGTGTTTGTTCTGTGCCTCATTTCGATGGCTTATGGGGCCTACTACGAAGAGATGTACCATCGGCTAAAGAATGATGTGTCAAAGATGAGGGCAGAAATGACATGGAAGGTAACCACAACTGCCCACTACAAATAGTTGTTCCCAGATACACTGTTGACACTGTTTCGCTCTTGTTTTCACTGCTGTCTTCAGATGGGTATGAACAAACGATTTCGTGGCATGTCAGAAGAACAACTACGGGCGATGAGCGGTGCTACATTTGACGGACTGGAAGAACTGCCAGTGAAAAAGTCTTTCAGAAGAAACCTAGATCTGCCAAAATCTTTTGATGCCCGTGATCACTGGCCCAACTGCAAATATATTCCATTTATTCGTGATCAATCCAACTGCGGTAGCTGCTGGGTAAGGAAGAAATGTAGCCGATGCTCGAAAATCGTAGGCAACCCATAATTCTAGGCCGTGTCGACGGCGTCCGTGATGACAGATCGACACTGCATCGCTAGCTCCGGCAGAGACCAACCGTACATATCTGACGAATACGTGCTCAGCTGCTGCGGCCCAGAGTGCGGAAGGGGGTGAGGT